TTTCTCTAGATTATATCTAAAACAAAACCTCGCGAATCAGATGAGAATTTCTGCTTTGTGAGGGAGAGCATACGTCGTTCTACAGTGGGCATCGACCTCCACTGCGTGTCATCTGGCATATATTAGCCAATGAGCACAAAGCAAGCTAAAGGCTGTTATGTGGATGTTTTTTAGTTATTTCGTTTATCTTGTCCTGAGTCGTGTGAGTACACGTGCCTTCAGGAAATAGTTTTAGAAATTCTTTCGTTATGTCTGCGAGAAAGGTGAAATACTCCTGTACGTTTCAAAAACCGTACACAATTGACGTTCCTTCCATTATTTCCTCAAGGAAATGTAATTAATTTGCGATGTGTACCGCCTGTCGTTGCGATTTTTCGATTTCGCATGGTGGAAGGGCAGATGTTCTCAATCATGTGCGTACACAAAAACACAAGAACAACATGAGTTGTTTTGAAAAAACGAAAAATTTTTCTTCGGAAGCAAAGGACCAAAAAGTTATTAATGCAGAATGTCTGTTCTTTGACTTTTTACTGGAGTCCCCCCCCCACCCCCCCCCCCCCCCCCCCCCCCCCCCCCCCCCCCCCCCCCCCCCCCCCCCCCCCCCCCCCCCCCACCCCCCCCCCCCCCCCCCCCCCCCCCCCCCCCCCCCCACCCCCCCCCCCCCCCCCCCACCTGCCACTGAATGCATCGGATCACGCTGCAGCTTTATTTCTAAAAATGTTTCCCGATTGTGAAATCGCTAAGAAATACTCAAGTGCAAGGACCAAAACAGATGCAATTTATTAAAGAAATATCTTCAGTTATTGATTGCATTAAAACAGCTCCGTTCTGTCTCTCTGCGGATGGAAGCAATAATAATGATTCAAAACTGTATCCAATTGTTTCTTTTTTTAATCCAGAGTCTTCAGAAATTGAGTGCAGTTTACTTTCTGTCCCCACTTTAGAAGGACATTCGACAGGCTTTAATATAGCACAGCTAATTATTAAAACTTTAAAAGAAAATGCGGTCCCTCTGGATAATTGCTTAGCACGGTGCCGATAATGCACCAGTAATGGTAGGCTTGAAGACTGGTGTTGCAGGCATCTTAAGAAAAGAAAATTCGGATTTGCAGATTATGAGGTGGACCTGTCACCTCTTAAATTTAGCAGCTGAAAAAGGGGGAGCTTCTTTACCAATAAATGTGGATGAACACATTGTTGATATTTATTATTATCTTGAAAGGAGTTATAAAAAAGGAAGGAAAAATTGAAACAGTTCCAACAGCTGCATAATACTGAAATGAGAAAAATTTTGAAACATGTGGTGTACACGCTGGCTGGCTTTAAAGAAATGCTTATCTAGAATCCTCGATCAATGGAACCCACTTCTTGCATTAAAGAAGAAGTAAATGCTTCGAGAGTTAAGATAAAAGGCTCTCTTAAAAGTTATAAAATACATAAATTAAATGCAGATGTAATTACAACTTCCATTGTTAAAAATAGGTTTGAGTAAAATAAAGTAATTTCTGCACCATTCAGCAATTCAGCTGGCAGTTCTCAAAATATTACTGCAAAATACAAGTGTAAAGCTGATACAAATTTCTCTCAAAATAAAAAAAAATTGCTCAACACACGAAACATTTTCCGATTATTGTAAGTTTATCTAAGCACGAGTCTGCCACTGTTCATAACATTCTGAATACGAAAGCAAAATCTGCCACTGTTCACAACATTTTGAATACGAAAGCAAAATCTGCCACTGTTCATAACATTTGTACGAAAACTGATTAAAGTGTCTTTTTTTTTTTTTTTTCCTTAAATGATGCAAGTAATAAAAATGTTTTTTATATATAAGGTATTTTTGTGTTGCTTGCATTTAAGAATTAGTTACTATTTAAAGTTAATTCATTATTAAAAACTATATTTTTATCATTTAAAAGTCTTTTTAACATTGTGGAAAATCTCCGATTTCTTAAAAAAAACTCTCCTGATTTTTAAGTATCATAGGTTGGCAAATATGCTATTATACGAATTTTCAAGTGATGTCTTGAGTAAAATAATACATAACTCTCAATATAACAACTGGCATCGGGTACTTCTGCTACTATATTAATATACAATGCTCGAAATTGAAAATGCAACACCAAGAAGGAGTGGTCAGAAATTTATGCACATTTTAGAGTAGACGCATGTCACTGAGTCATGCGAATGATGTGAAAGGCGCAGCTCTGCGACGTACGTGAAGTAAGATATAAGGGAAGGAACATGCAGAGTAGGTAATATTCGTGTCGTTATTTCTGCCAGACGAATTATCGAAGAAAGTTGGTTTTTTGTCCCGGAGGATACGTGTAATAAGAGAGAATGCCAGGCCGCCGTCAACGAAGGCAATTCTAGCAGATAGACGATTTTATGAGGGGTATGGTGATCGGACTGAGAAGGGCGGGTTGGTTCTTACGTCAAATCGCAGCTGATACCCACATAGTTTTGAGCACGGTGCATTAGCTATGGCAAACATGGTTGGAACAAGGAAATGTGGGAAGAAGAAGGGGTACAGGTGCACCAGAGTGATGCGTGGATTGACGCATCAGCCGACAAGCTGTGGCGGTCCCGCAAGTCTCTTGTATCGCGATTCTGCAGCATGTGCAAGATACCCTGGATGTTCCTGTGTCGACCAGAACCATTTCCCATCGATTGGTTGAATGTTGCCTGCACTCACAGCGTCCGTTAAGAAGACTGCCATTGACTCCAAAGCATAGACGCCGACGTTTAGAATGGTGTCGTACTGGAGCGATGTGGATGACAGAATGGCGAAACATCGTGTTCTCAAATGAGTCACGCTTCTGTTTATCGAGTGACAGTCACCGAATACGTGTGTGGCGTCGACGTGGAGACAGATGTAATCCGACAGTAACTGTGGAACGCCCCACTGTGCGACTACATGGCATAATGGTTCGGGGCGCTATTGCCTACGATTCCGGGTCACCTCTAGTTCATATTCAGGGCACTATGACGACCCAACGATACTTTGATAACGTACTGTGGCCGGTGGCAATCCCCTACCTTCAGGGGCTGCCTAGTGCAATTTTTGAGCAGGCTAACGCCCGACCATTCAGTGCTCGCATCTGCCAACACGTTCTGCAAGGTATAGAGATGCTTCCCTGGCCACCGTACTCTCCTGACCTGTCACCAATCGAACATGTGTGGGATGTGATTGGGCGTCGTTTGCAGATTCTGCCCCTGCCTCGTTCAGAAGACGAATTGTGGCAAACGGTTGAAAGGGAATGAAGAGCCATCCCTCAAGACACCCACACTCATATTGACTCTATGCCTAGACGTGTTTCTTCGTGCATTGCTGTCCGCTGTGGTCCTACATCCTACTGAGCCGACGCCGTTCTCGCTCTGTATTCTGACTATCATTTTGAAATAAAGATCGCTTATTGCTGCTTGCTATCTCTGTCTTTTTTCCAAATTTCATCACTTTCTGACCACTCCTTCTTGGTGTTGCATTTTCAATCTCAAGCAGTGTAAAACAGAATTTGCATTTAGCTAAAAATAATGCATTAGATAAAACTTAAAAACTTTTCCAGTGTTCATCCCTACTTAAATATTTGAAGTGTTAATTTCATGCAGTATGAGATTTTTTCAACAGATCTTTCTGTAGGTAAGCAGATCTTTCTGTAGGTTGTATATATTTGTGCAAAATATTTCTCAAAGTAAAACTTGTTCATTCAGATACAAAATTTGTTGTTTGTATTCTTCTGAAGGGTACATATTTCATTTTGGTATATACTCAAAAAATATGCAAAGAAACTGACTGGTCTTGGACTAGGGGGAAATGCTGTAACACATGTTTTTAGTCTGGTGGAAGTTCCCTCAAATCATTGACATGTATTTTGACATCTATTTTATGTTCCATTCGTTATTGTCAGAATTGAATGAGCTGAAATTTATGCCATTTGAATAATTTATGAGAGCAAGTTTGGAAATTGTCTCATTGTACCTCTAAAGAAAATCATAAAAGAAGGGCATGAAAATATGTGACACCACATTTCATAAGGAGTATGCTATTTGTAGTAGTTCAGTGGAATCACAGTCCCGTTGTAACTATGGAAACTAACTTGTCATTGATCCACTTTCCGTGGCCAAGAGATACTCAGGGGAAAAAGTGCCTTTAAAGCAAACTAAACCCATACTAAATTACAACAATCATATGGGTGGCTTGAACCTTATGAACAGTTTTGTTGTGCTGTGTGCTTTGTTCAAGCACAAGCAGAAGGTAAGAAAGGTGGTGGCCTATTTTGACGAATTCACATAGTTGAATCAAATGCATGGAAACTATAATATTGATGGATATAATATGCTGAATATGTTTGTCGACCATTTTTCTCTCATGATTTAGCCTGAAGCAAGACAAAAAAGGATCCAGCAAACCACGCTATTGAGAAAAGTTGAACAATCAAAAGAAAGAGATGCAAACACTATGATAGTCAAACGATAGATGGTTGTAATAAATGTAATGTGCTTTTGTATAGCAAAGGTTTCAAAGATTTCAGTATGAATAAATATAATATGATCAGTATAATATGATTTCAAAGGAAAGTAATTAAACAATTTTTTTTCATTTAATTAAATGGAACTCGAGAATTATTCAAAATGTTATTCACCAGTCTCTTTTAAATGTTCTGTTTCAGCTTGTTTTTAATCTATTTAGAAATATGCATCCTTAACTTCCACCCAAATTTTGCTTATCATATAGGTAAATATCCTTAAAGAGCACATAATTTCTAGTGAACCTTAACAAATTTTAATTACAGTTTTGTGCTTCTCATAACTTTAATTCAGAATGCTATTGTGTTGTCTTCCATGTTTAAAAATGAATTAAAAATATGTATACACAAATTTGGATAATTTCTTGACTTTAATTGTTGGCTTTATGTTCTGTTCGGTTCTGAAAATTCAAATAAAATTTCAGAAGTAACATTATTTTGTAGTTCTAGATATTTTCTTACTTGTATTTACAGTTTGCAAAAGAAATGGCATTATGATGATTAGTATAAAGAAGTGTTGTGAAAATCAGCTGAAGTTCCACAAGAACAGAAGTCATGCAACATGAAACATTTGAAGATTAAATTTGAGAGATCCCTTGCAAAGGCAACATTTTGTAGTAAATTCCTTCCAAGTCACTCTTGCATGCAAATTGTTTATTGCATATAACATTTTTGTGTGAATTTTCATGAGAGTAAATAAGCAGATATATTGCTAAATGACCTTTGAATTTAAATGAACTGCTATATTTAGCACATGTTTATGATGTCTCACCAGTGTGGGTAAAAATATGTTTCAAACAGACGTTTAACTGTGAATAACTAGTTACAAATATTACATTTGTGTCATTTGTCATTCTTATGGATCAATATTTGTCTTTTTAATGCACTTAGTGTGCAGATGATTTATAAACATTGCATATATATAGTTTGTCCCCAGTGTGTTAAACATGTTTATTTTAATGATGCCTGCATGCAACTTGTTCATGTGGTTTCATTTTAGTATACTTAGGATGTGAATTTTAATATGACTTTTGAGTATAAATGGCATGAGCATACTCATGTTACCTGTATGAAAAGCAATATCTGCCTTTAACCTACTTGTATGTGCAAATAACTTACTATAGATACCAATCTTATGATTTCTTATTTCATTTGAATTAAAAATATGAAAAATGTTTTTCTAGAGTGCCATTCCAATAAAACTGACATTTATGTATACCAGTAGTATTCAACTTTATCACAGTGTGACCTCATAAAAATGCAAACAACCTCCAAAAAATTTTACTATCCAAATGAGAGTTCCAATGACATTGCTTCGAATTAGAAATTGGTTAGAAAAATCTTTGTGAAAAAATTATTTTCCAATTTTTGTTAATGAATTTGCTCCTATTTATCTCAAATCGACAAAAATAAAAAATTAAAATTTGAAAGTTTTCAGATTTTAAATTACGTTGAAAGGGGCATTTTTTTGTCTGTTACCTTTATTTATTATTTATTTATTAAATATCATGTTCTTCACACTTAAACCATAAAATTCAGTTCAAGAGCAATATTGCAAAATAGTTTTAAATTGAACATATCTTTAGAATTTCCGATACAGAGTCTCGCACGCTGGAGCTAAAAATGTTTTTCTGTACAACATTGCCAGTGCGCTTTGAAATCCTTGAGTTTGTTAATTAAAAATTCGGTAAAGTTTTACAAAATATGAAATCGATTATAAAACAAATTCCAAATTTCAAATTTGGGCTTCCACATGCCCGTATTTGCAGTAAGGTTTACATCGTTCAAAATTCAATGGCTCTGTGTTATGTACCATTGTTTTATCACAATGTGAGAAATATACATACATTTATGCAGATTTTTCATTATTTAATTTCTTCCAATATAATGCAGGATTCTAACATTTGGTGGCAACAGTTGGGAAAATGAAAGGGGCATTTATAGTGAACCAACGCAAGATCGCAAAATGAAAACAATAGTCCTTCAGGGACAAAGCCCCTTTGGTCTAATAACCTTAGTAGAGACCAGCGTATTGAAATATAAAAAAATGACTATTTTGAAACATGAGAGCATGCTGTGTGTACTCTTGCTATTTGAAAAATTCATCCAAATCTATGCAAGCATTTTGCATTGAATAATAAGTATAAGTGTTTTATTAGTCAACTTGTAAGTTGGATTTTTTTAGACTGGACATTTGTGATTGTTATCAAACATCAGTTATAATCTCTAATAGTTTTTTTTTTTTTTTAATGTTTTCTATTTTTGCATACTGACACTTTACGGTCTTTTCCATTGCCGTAAACAGTAAAATATATTATTAGAAAAGGCATTTTGTCTCTTAAGCATAATGTGTGAATCCTTTTTTCACATCTTCATAGCTCTCCACTGATTGGATAGAAGTAGTTGTTGACATGAACTAAACAGAGGCATTTTCAATCATATTAACATTTCTCTCTTCTATATTTAAAACAAATAACTTGAAATTATGTTTACCTTTTCTTTCCAATAACAGCTTGCAATATGCCCATTTAAACAAATAATAACGCACATTTCTCACATACGATTTTTATAAGAAGGGCAGGGCCAGATTGAAGCACAGATGACCGAGGCGGTTACCTGGCTATTTAAAGGTATACTGTATTTACTCACATATTCTTCCCCACTCCCCAGCTTTTTGTGGAGCAATTCATAATGACAGCGATGAAGCTGTACACTCCGACGTTAATTTCCCCCTCACCCGCGCTAACTGTCATTGGACTTGATCCAAAAAAAAGGAGAAACATTCTCTCCTTGTATGACTCACTTCTCGCGTTATGCAATGGATAGTAAACAACGCTTGTAATCATCGATATATTTTTTTTCTTCATATACCTAATAAATATGTTATTTTGTGTTTGTTAATATAATGATCGTGTTCCTTACATCGGCAGCTTGGATTACACTTTATTAAGGAAAGAACTTTAATTCTGTTTTATTCATCTGCTCGTCTCGATTTAGCGAAGTTGTAACAGTAAACAAAAATGAACCACGAATACCTTCAACATTTTTATCTTTTCAGAATATCATCTAAAGACTTCTGATTGATTGTAGCAATGTAACATGTATGCATTAATAAATTATTTTGTGTAAATGAATGAAAAAAATAAGCAACAAACGCTTAAAGAAAAGGTACGAATGTAAAAAGGGAATTAAAACATACTGTTTACACATTAGGTAGAGATTTCATCACCAAATGTAAATATACAACCAAAATTAGCATAAAATGCAATCCTGGAGTCATACCACAGTTGCTAAAAAAGGGTCATGCTGGACCTAGGCATCAACTTGCAAGCAGCGATACCATTATCTTAGTTGCGTGTCCAGCCTCAGCCTTGAAGGTTTAACAAGATCATCTTGAAAAATTGAGCTGGAGGTACTTTGGATAAAAAGGAGGAAGCACAAAGCCACCTAAAAGGCTTTTAAATTTATCATAAAAATCATTCTGAGATGATAAACAATAGTCATTGCTTAAAATTGCAGCTGAGAAAGTTATAAAAATCTTGGATAGTAAGACATTTCACAGTATTTACAAAATTATAATGCAGAAAGAAAAGAAACTTGGATGAACAGTTGTACGAAAAAGCTTGTTTAAATATGCATGAGTAAAAATATAAGAAAAGTGAGAGAAAAAAGTAGGACTCGAACTTTGGATCTAAAAGTTCAGAGGCGAGAACTTTTTCTATTGCTCTAAGAGAGTGCAGAGAAAAGTTGAAAAGCAGTGTAGTCATTCAGACTTCATGAATTTTGTGCTTTCTAGGAAACTGTTGATGATTTTCATGAGGTAAGAAAATTATAATTTATCATTTTGGGGACAATGCCAGGATGCATACTTTTTCGGAGGCTTTATTGATGTCGAGGAAGCAGCCAGTGACATACATTCTATAACAAAACAAAAAAAAAATTAACACACCAAGAAGGAGTCGTCTGGTGGAGACAAAAATTGTTGGATAGGAAAATTATATACAGAATAGAAAATTATTAAAATTTCAGAACAATTGAATGATTTATTTCAGAGTTACAAAGTAACAAGCTTAATAAGGTGTTGACCCAACTCTAGCCAAGGCCAGCTAGATATCTACAGGCCTGCTCCACCGATTTGTGACGTCACAAGCAAAAGCAATCATTTCCATGGTAGATATGAGTGACTGTTTCATTTATCTCGTCCATAGCTTTTTACTTCAAACACAAAAGTGAAGTTCATTTTTACAACTAATATTTTGAATTTTAGGATTAATAACTTACTATATTATATCGTAATGATATTTAAATAGTTTTCTACCAATTTATCAAACAAAAGATAAAATAAGACTAGCGGGCAAGCCCGCCAGCTGAGCGGGCTGAAGCCCGCCTTTTCATTGTTCAATGTTCATGAGTTCCCATGTTCAATTTCAAAATTCGTAAGTTGGACCGGTATTCGAAAGTTGGACCGAACTATCAGTGTTGAGCGGTTTTGCGCGGACGTCCCCCGCTTTATTCACGTATGCATCGAGAAGATACTGCATACATGATACACATGCGTAAAATCACGAAAACACCCATGGAACCAGCGTGTTCGCTGGGATTCGAAAGCTGGACCGAACTACCAGTGTTGAGCGGTTGTGCGCAGGCTGCGCCCGCTATATTTACACATGCATCCAGAAGATACTGCATACACGATACACATGCGTAAAATCACGAAAGTACCCATGGAGCCAACCCGTTCGCCGTTATTCGAATGTTGGACCGAACTACCGGTGTTCAGTAGTTTATTATTCACATATGCATCCAGAAGATACCGTATACACGATACACATGCGGAAAATCACGAAAACAGCCATGCTGCCAGGCCACTCGCCTTTATTCGAAACTTAGACCGAACTACCAGTGTTCAGCGGTTTTTTCCGGGCTTGCGTTATTGACGTATGCATCCACAAGATACTGCATACACAACGCTACACATGCCGAAAATCACGAAAATACCCATGCAGTCAGCTCCTGCGCCGGGATTGCAAAGTTGGACCGAACTACCAGTGTTTAGCGGTTTTGCGCCGGCTGCGCCCACTTTATTCACGTATGCATCCAGAAGATACTGCATACACGACACACATGCGTAAAATCACGAAAACACCCATGGAACCAGCTTGTTCGCTGGGATTCGAAAGTTGGACCGAACTACCAGTGTTCAGCAAATTTAGCGAAACTGATTAAAATAAACTGAAACGTATCTGAATTTTTATATGGAAATAAAATTTGGAAAATTAAATGCACACAAAATTATTTATAAAATTTATACAATATGTTCATGAATATGAACTAAACACAAAATGTTTTTTATTTCGCAATAAAAGGAAAATATGTTTACTCTCAGATTAATTTATATTTCTTAAATTAAGCAAACTAATTTATACTGCTTGAATATTAAAAAAACATATATAGTATTTCATAACAAAATTAATATCAACATATTAATTCTAATATAATAAAATATTGCTTTAATTAATGTTTTTCTGTGCAATGATATCGAAGCAAAATTTCTTTTCTTTATGCCCATAAAGATTTTTCAATATTTCAATCCGAGATCCTAAGATGCTTTTTAATAATAAATACAGGTGAACATTAAGTGAAATACAAAAATCTTTTTAATATGTTATGTTAGTTAATACATCTTAAGTTTAATCTACATATTGAAAAAAGTTTGATTCTAAAGATGTTTTTATTATCCAGTAAATCTTATAACATATCCAAAAATATATTTCAAATTCTCCTAAAATCACAGCAAGATCATAACTATGAATCATTTCCGATGAGCATGATATCATGCTCCTAAAAATTCGTATGAAAGGAAGAAATCTGATTAAAAATATCATTTATTTGATGATAGAGAAGATTAAAAACACACACAATATTAAGCAATGAAAATCCTGAGAGTCATTACGATAGTATAAGATACTGATTAGCCAGTTGAAATTATCATTTCACATCTGCAATAAGTTGTCATTTGAATTTTTTAAATATTAACAATGGAACATTATTATTGTAGATTCTGATGTGAGGTCCACAAAAATAAACTTCAAACTTGAATAAGTTTCTACGACTCACTGATATTACAATATATCATTCTATATGCCAACATGGATATAGTTTACAGATGCTTAGTATTCAATTAATTTAGACATTCTTTTTTTTTTCTTTTAAAAATATTTAAACTCTTTGTACACCACATACTACTACATTAATTTGTATTGCTTAAATTCAAATTAGATTGATTTATACTGCTTAAAAAGATATGTGATATTTCATAACAAAATTCATAAACATATTAATTTTAATAAAATTTTGATTTACATTTATGATTTTACATGCAATCCTATTGAAGCAAAAGCCAATTTTTTTTTTTTCTTTCTCATAAGGACGTTTCAACATTCAATCTAATATCTTAAGGTACTTTGGTACTTACGTATTATCGCAACCAGGTTGACGCTATTCGTAAGTTTTGACGCTATTTGTAAGTTTGAGTAAAAAAGTATGAATAGAAAGAAAATGTACATTTATTAATTACAGATAATTTTTAATACAGTTTTTTATATTATTTTCTTTTAAATATAAAATAGCAATTAAACCCTTCCGGTTTCGAATTTGAATAAGTTGCAGAATTATTTTTTCGGCGGAAATCTTTTGGCTATTGCTTTTAGCACTGATTAAAAACCGTATTCGCCATAACCATGTACACGTCGACTTATTTTTACTTAAAAAAACATCCCAGAATTGCACAAAAATGGCATTGCGCACACTCTTCACTTTATCCATGTACACTGCTATTTTCTCATAAATTACAAAAATTTGCACGAAAATGCAGGAAAATTTTGTGAATCTCCACATGCTCTTTTTACAAAACTACGTATAACACGTAGGGTTGCCGTAAGTAGGGTTGCCAAATTTCGCAATTTATGCGAATTTTGACCTGGTTGCGATAATACGTAAGTACCGGTACTTTTTTTTATTATAAACGTACAAGTGAACATTTTGGGAAATACAGTCAAAAGTCGTTAATTCGGACACCCATAATCCAGAATGATCTATAATCCGGACCTCAAAGCTAAAAACTTTCTGCGCATGCGCCGCGTTGACACATGCGCATAGGCGTTTACGCGTGCGCGTAAGACCTTTTACCACTGTGCATATGCGTGTGCGCAAGCGCAGAATACGTTTTTGCGTGCACGTTTTATGTATAACGGACGGCATAATCTAAAATTATCTAATTATCTATTTCAGTTAATGTTGATGATTGCGTTGTTCCTTAATCTTCGAATTGGATCCGGATTATTATTTTTTGCAGACTGTAAGAGCAATTTTATAAAAGTAAACTTGAACTTTCGATTATGTCAAATAGAATTTCCGATTCTGGAGCTCCCAAAGGATCGTACAAAACGAAAGTATGTTTCGATGTCCATCAAACAAAAAGTGAAATTGCTGCAAAAAATGGATAAAGACATGAAGAATGTGACAGAGAGGTTAGTGAAAACGAAAAAATTTCGATTGACAAGTTAGTCGGTATTCTCGACACAACAATTAACGGGACTTGAACAGCGGAACTTTGTAACTGAACAAGAAATTGTGTCTGTTTATAGAATTAAAGAGAAAGTATTATCACATAAAACGAAGCAACTTAAAACAACTTACATTGAAAGAAATGTTTAATAAAGTAAACAAATAAATATTAAGCTTTTTTTTTTTGTAAATTTTGATACCCTTTAGATTATAATTGTTCTTTATTTCATAAATTAAGGTTTCATATTTTTAATTTAGAATTCCTGCATGCCATCTTTGAGATTAACTGATGATTATAATCCGGAAATCTTCACGGACACGAAATTAAATATACCAATCCAGAAAAAGAACAAAATGTATTAGATTCCATGAACAACACAGAATAAATAAGAAACTTAGATATATTTATTACTTACCACATTATTTTGTAACATATAAAATAAAAATACTTATAAATAATCTTTATCTTTTATTATAACATATATTGAGAAATCAGGGAACATATATTGAGAAATTAATAATATTTTATATGTTTATCTTGCCATGCAACTTTTCCTTCATTATTTACATAATCATAAATGTTTTCTCGCAATCAGCCTTGCTTCAGCAGACCCTGTGTTATAACCATTTTGTTTACACAGGGATTTCATCTTACTTAGCGATTCCTCATTTCGCCATGATCCAGGTATAAAATTAAAGTCCTCATCTTCATGATCGATTAGTTCTCTTGGTGTATACAATTGCCTGGACGGTCTTTCTCGTAGAAAGTTATGCAAACAGCAACATACAGAAACAATTTTATCAACTGTCGCAGGAGGCAGCTGTATTGGTTGCATCAAGATACGAAATCTATTTGATAATATCCCGAATGCATTTTCAACAACACGCCTTGCCCTGGACAGTCGATAATTGAAAATCCTTTGCTGAGGAGAGATTTTTTTACCAGGATATGGCCTCATCAGATAACATTTCAAAGGAAACGCCTCATCTGCAACCATAAAATAATTCACAGGCTCACTACCTGGAATCAAAGGTGTTGGGCTGGGCAGATCAAGCAAGTTATTGTCTAGCATCGAAAATAAACTTGTTTGGGCAAAAACTCCTCCGTCTGATATTCGTCCATTACATCCAACATCAATAAATGTAAATTTATAATCTGCATCAACTGATGCCATCAGCACAATGCTGTTGAAACTTTTATAATTGTAAAAAGTGCTGCCACCCCCTGCTGGTGCTTTTATCATAACGTGTTTTCCATCGATGGCACCAACACAGTGTGGCAGGTTCCACTTTTCAGCAAAAGCTTCTTCTATGGCTTTGCCACTCCTGAGCAGTGTTTGGTGTCTACGAAATGAGAAAATAAGTATTAATTATGAAACTGAAAAAAGGATGCGAATACAAAATATAAATGCAGAAAATGCTATTTGAATATTGGCAAATAGTAAAATCAAATATTTTATCAACGAATATTAGCTACTCATTTGTTATAATAAAATTCACATCAGAGAAATAGATAAAAAAATGTGCTTATATATTTTGGTTGTGTTCCTATGTTTCACTTTTTATCTAATTTTTCCCCATTTTTTTCTCTCTTGTTTTTGATTAAGCTACACCATAGATTCTATTTAAAGTTTTTAAAGTAATGAATGTGTCAGATACAATAAATGGAATTAAAGCTAAGTGACTGTGGGTAAATGAATGTTTTTGATCACAATACCCATACAGACAGAAAAACTGATAATTTTTGGAAAATAAATGATTAAAAAATAAGCTGTTGTTGTACAAACAATAATACAATAAACAAAAAGGGCTTATGCTTGTTTGTACACAGAAACAGAATTTTCATTTAAACAACATGTTTTTAAACATTTTATAACTGAATATATATGCTTCTTAATTTGAAGAAAACTCAAAACTAAAAGTGTCTATTGAAGAATTTTGGATGAACCCATAGGTGGTCAATTTAGCAGATTCATTATGTGTTTTATACAGGGTTGATACTAGGTTGTCAATTTGCTGTCCAATGCAATCTCTGCAGTTCCTACATTCTATTGCTAGATGCCTCCCTAATTATAAAACAATGTTTTTTTTTTCCCAAATAAAATCTTCGTAAATTTTAAATAACTATACCTAAAATTAAACAAAAATACTATTCAAGACATCCCATAAATGGTTCTACATTGCTTCAACATTTTAAAAGTGCGCTTAATTAGAAACAGTCATAGGTTATATTATTATAATTTATTGTACATAATTAATTAAATGCATAATTAAAAAGGAATCATTTTTAATGAAAAAATACACTACTTAATAACTTGCATTAGCAATTTTTTTTTTTAAATCTCCAAGCATAAATTAATTTTTTTAACAAACATGGATTTATTCATTCAACTGTATTCACTGTAGATCATATACAGATATGTCATGCAGAATTAATACAAATGCATCATTCTCAACCACATGACACAGATTCCAAACCACATGGTACTTCATGTAAATAAACCAAGGGATTTCATGAAGAGTGTGGCAGCACGTGCGCAAAGTGAGATGCACATCAGATCAAGGAGGTTAGAATAGAAGGAGGGAGGGTTCGCCGTTTCCTCCACTATCGGGGAATGAAACCTCCGCCGAACAAGCGGCGTCCATGTTTGTGACTTCAAAACATTGCATTACGTCAATGACATGTACGTGTTTCTAAGCTGTTCCGTGCATGTATTTTCCAGTAAAATATGTAAAATTTATAATGAAATACTTCGCTATTGTTAGTTTTTTGTTTTAAAGTTATAAAGATGATATTCGTAATTTACTACGTACAGAAAATCATTAAGAAATAGTTCGAAATCTAAATGCATGTGCATAACATTAAAGCCTTTAAAAATAATGTTTCTGCATACTTCAAGAATTTGTTTAGGTTTTATTAGCAACCTGTTGGGGGTGTACTTTCCAGTTTTTCCTTTAAGAAGTGATATTTCTGATTTATTTACAATATTGTAATTTATTAAAGAATCATTTAAAATATACTTAACCTGAAATTAATAGCGGATAATTATCTAAAAAAATAGTCACAGGTTTGCATTTTTTTTTAAATGAAAGTTTTAAATAGATTCTTTTCACAACCAACAACCTTATAACAAGAAGAAATAAATATTAATAAAATAAAACAGATTTATGTGAATTCAGATGATTTCAGTTTATGCGCGTTTCATAGTTATGAATCTCAAAGAAATTGCCTTGAATTAACATGAATTACAGAAATATACCTATATTTTTGGATACATCTTTCCGTACGTTCAATTGTGTAAATATTTTACTTACTTTATATCGCTATACTGCCCAGAAATTTCGTAAGTTTATGCATAAAAAAATTTTCACAACAGAAAAGTTAGTTTATCTTGATCAAATGCACAAATTATATTCTTAACAGTTCAAAAAACTTAAAAATGAATAATAATTAATACAAAAGAGAAGCATTACTTTATTTAACACCTTTACAATTCATAAAAATAGTAACAATTGATGTCCTTACTTTCATGAAAATTATCAAACGAATTACCTAAAACTTTCAAATTATACAGTTTAAATCCTAGCATACATCATTGTATGTTAAGGAACAAAGATGCCAGCTATAAACAGAAACATTAAAATGTATTTAACATATTTTATTTTAATTATTTAAGTCCTTTTTTTCACATCTGGAAATAAAACAACATGACATTGTGATATTTTTTACCATAGTTATCAAATTACTTAAAAAAAAAAAAAAGAAAAAAGAAAAAAAAAGAAATCAATACTAAATAATAAAGTAATCCCAGGAATCTTTTTCGAAATCTGTTTGTGCATCCATATACAACACAAGCTGACATGCTTCAAAAAGAAAAGAAAAAAATATTGCAATTACAGACTTCCTTGCACAAGTCACAGCGATAACAGGAACCTGGCCGCCAAGCTTCACCATTTGAGTTGAACGTTCCCTCCTTCTATTCTAACCTCCTTGCATCAGATCCTGATTCCAAAAGTTGCCTTCTTTCTATAGACGCTTGTAATAAAATATGATGGCGACCATCTTACTTGTTGCAAAACTCTAAACCCCAATTATAAATTATTATATTTTTTAGACTTAAAAACAGGAGTGTTTAGAGAAATGACCTATATTCCGGTAGAGAAGAAGAAGAGAAAGAATGATCTTGTTTGTTTGTGTTAGCTAAGTCAGAATAAAGCTCGGAGAGCAGCCTTGGCTCCAAATCAGGGGAAAACATTTAAATTCTTATAAAATGGTTATCGTTGTATGATGTACTTACTCTATGGAGATAACCCACATTCTTACTTGGCTTTAACATTTTTAAATCAAATGATCTAAAAATTATATTTCTGTCCAACAAAATTGCCCCCTCTCTATTTGCGTTTCCTTCGACTCTAATCTACACTCATGTCCATAAATTAAGGATAAATGCAAAATTAGGCAAAGGAAGAGTTAGAAGCAAAACAAATTTGACTTATTTGTAAAGCTTATTTATTAAACAAAAGGTAAAGAGCAAAACAAGATGCTATATGTTTGATATTATAAAAAAAAATTAGCGATTTTTTTCTCCCTGGAGCAAATTAAAAAAGAACCTATTTAAAAGAAAAAAATATTACATGGTATGATTGTTAATACATTGTATGTCTCCCAGACGATGCAATACAGTCCGTACAACGCCTAGGCATGCTGAGTATCAAATTATCGATCTGATCTTGGCGGGGGGGATATTACACCACTCAAAAAGCAATGCTGTCCGAAGTTCCGGTAGACATGTAGGAGGAGGTTGACGGGCTGAAACTCGTCGGCCAAGCATGTCTCACACGTGCTCTACTGGATTCAAGTCCGGTGAGAATGCTGGCCAGTCCATAGGGGTGATATCCTCCGATTGAAGGCATTCGCTTACGATGTTTGCATGGTGAGGACGGGCGTTGTCATCCATAAACACAAATTGTGCGCCCATGGCGCCCCAAAACAAACGTACATGTTGTTCCAGAATGAGGTCCCGATAGATTTGGCTTGTCATGGTTCCAATTTGAACTTGCAGGTCAGTTTTGGAACCCAGAATAATTCCACCCCAAACGAGCACTCCTGCACCACCATAACGGTGTCGTTTAATGATGTTTTCTTGGTGGTAACGGGTACCTGGAGATCTCCATGTGAAAGTCCGGCGAGAATCAGACTGCAAGCTAAACCTGGACTTGTCGGAAAACATCACAAAAGCCCACTGTTTCGGTGTCCACAATGCATGCTCTCTACTTCAGGCTAACCGCAGGCGACAGTGTATTGTAGTAAGTGGAATGCACCTGACATCTTGTGTGAGCATATAGACCAATCTGCTCTAAGCGTCTGTACACGTTCTGCCTTGAAATTGTCATACCAGTGGCTGAAGAGAGCTGACGAGACAGGTCTGAGGCTGTGCTCCGCCTGTTCCTTTTGGCATTAACTGCCAAATACTGGTCCTCATTCGGCGTTTTAACTCTGGGGCGACCTGTGCTGTAACGTCTACTCACATTACCATTATCTTGGAATCGTTGCCAAAGCCTGGAGATGACACTCTGGGCAGTTCCAAGTTCGTCTGATAATTCCAGTTGGGTACGCCAACATTTCAGACCGATAATTCTACCACGTAAAAAATCATCCAAATGCGTCCTTGTGTCATAACTATTCGGTTATTGCACTGAATTGCTTATAAAGCACCTGCGAACAATTTTACTTCTTTGCCTGTATTCCGTATATATCACTCTCTTACACTCTTGTCATTGTTACGTACCATCGGCGTCATCTGGTTACTTCGTGAAGTTTGCATATGATTCTTGAAGATGTGTGTAGTGATTTTACAGGTGATATATTTATTTTAGAGTTCGATTTCCGCTTGACACCGAATTATCCTTAATTTATGGAGATGAGTGTATAACAATATACTCTTTAATTACAGTGATCATGATTTCTCACATACAATTTATACAAGTTAATGGGGTAACATCATTTTAGCAGAGCGTAGGAGATACGTTAGGAGAGACAGAAGCTAGGGAGAGGAATGCAGCAGAAGAGATAATGACGTAATTAATTGAAAAGTGTATTTATACAAGTTTGATGTACAAGTACAGCTAATCTATGACTGGTTAGTTTTATTTACCCTTTTCAACCAGCATTATATAATGAAGAAAAATCTCGAATCTGGGAGAACACATGAATTTAGGAAAAGCACACAAAATCTGGAAATGTTAATTTTGAGGTCACCATCTATTTTTCTAAAGCAGCTATCGTATTTTCTTACACCTTACATGCATATACCCCCGATGGTTAGAGTAGACTGAAGAGTACCTCTTGTGTTAACGTGAAGTTCTTTCATTTAATGCCAAGTTATTGTTTCGTTTATTGCCAAGAGTTGTTGTTTCATTTATGGTAACCTGAGTAGTTGAATGTTTCGTAATATACGTTTACCTAGCATTGGGTGCTCCTTTGACTTTTTAAGTGAAAGTACATCGATGTGTACATGGTTAAAATCAAGAGAGTGTGCAGTGCCTAATTTATGCAATTATTTGACTTGTTATTTTGTCTATGTGTAGTGGTGATTTTTTTTTTTTTTTTTTTTTTTTTTTTTTTGGCGTTAAAATCGCCACTACACAAAGCCAAAATAACAAGTCAAAGAATTGTGCGAACTCCGTATCCATGTAGCACCAAAACACGCCAATTTTTGCCAAGGGGTACCCATAAATATACTTTTACCACAGCTGACATTCATTTATATTTAGAGATGCATTCCCAATTCTGTACGTAAACACATTTACCTGACAGTTATTTCGCTGCAATCAATTAGTAAATATAACCAGTATGATCTAAAAATTTTATAATTAACACTCAAACTTATTATAATTTTGTGATTAGCTTTCTACTTTATATATAAAACCCATTCTAATATAGATATTTTGTACATAAGTCGATTTTATGTATTTGCACTTAGGTAACTTATCTAAGAAACTAATAAAAATAATGAAATATGTAATTAACATTAACAATGAGTTATTTCTTATTCTATGGTGAGGTTTATGTTGCAAATAACATAAAATACTTAAATAGTGTTGTAAAAGTTAATACATAAATGTAAATATTGTGTTTGTTGGAAGGAGGTAAGATGTTAACATCTATGTTCTACAACATATTTTGTATATGAATAAATGTGCATTGTACTAAATATCTACCAAACATATTTCCTCATTGTCCCCTTTAGAGGGTTTTTGAAAAAATTCTGTATTTTTATACCTATGCTTGATGTATTAAGTATTAAAAATAAATTAAATAGTAAATCTAAAAATATTCAGGAAAAGTTAATTTTTAAGAACTTGTATCAAGTTCGCACTGGCAAAAATGATTTCATGACTTACTTTTTATACAGTACAAAGTCCGTAATCCGGACTCGTCGGGCCTTCGGCGATTCCGGATTATAGATCATCAATTGAATTCTGGTAAGATGGCATGCAGAAATTATACAATTAAAAATATGAAACCGTAATTTATGAAATAAAGAGCAATTATGATCTAAAGGGTATCAAAATTTACAAAAAAAAAGCTTAGTATTTATTTGTTTACTTTGGTAAACATTTCTATCAATGTAAGTTGTTTAAGTTGCTTTGTTTTTTGTGCTAATACTTTCTCTTTAATTCTATAAACAGACATAATTCCTTGTTCAGTTACAAAGTCCTGTAACTGCTGTGTCGAGAATACCGAGTAACTGTTCAATCGAAATTGTTTCGGTTTTAATAACATTGTCTGTTACTTTCTTCACTATCGGAAGCGCACATGGGTACACGCTTTACTGGCTTTACGCGCATGCATAATTTTGTGGCTTTGAGGTCTGGATTATAGATCATCCCGGATAATGGACACATATCTGTTAATATTTGATTTAAATCAAAACAATCTTTCCAAATATGCAAAAGGTATTTAAAATATGTAGTTGCAAACTTCACAATACAAATTTTAGAATTCTTGTATTTAAATATCTCCTTAAATTCAATATGTACATTTCCCCCCCCATACTTTTAAGGCTATATGTAAATAATGACAAAAAATAGTGATAATTAAAAAAAAAAAAAAGATTTATTAAACAAAACAAGAAGAGTACAACAGATGCAATGTTACTTCAGTCAATCACATGAAATAAAATTAAAATGATCCGCAAAATTATATTCTGTTAAGAACATAACTTTGCCAGATTATAATTCTTATTTCTGTTAGAGGAGTCCTGTTTGCAAACATCAATTGAATATAATTTTTATATGGAATATCTCTTCGGTTAAAAATAACAATAGAGTCAATAAAGTACGAAATTTTCAGATTCTTTCTATTCTTATGTTGCATTATAAAAGAAATATTTCATCATGCTCCCTCAGTGAATTTCAAAATCAATTTAGGCTCCCATTTCTCTTAAAGCTGATCAGTGCAAATACTTCCAAAACAAAGCAGGAAATATAAGGTAAGTACAAGACTCTACTTTGGTACACGCAATATAGAAAGGCAGTATGTGTCCTTGAAGGTTAAAAGTATGTTTTCTTTTGGCAATATAAAAACAAAATATTTCTTAAAGACACATTTAGTAAATAACTATTTCTTACATCTATGGTAAAAAGATATTTTCCAAATGCCTTTTTATATACATGAGGTTTTTCTACAGTGCTGATATGTGCAAAAATTGATTGAAAGCTTATTGAAGTTGAGAAACATTTTTATACCTAATCACACAACCAGGCCCGTCCCTAAGTAACAGACTGCCCACGAATTTTCTTAAGACAACAGTCTCCAAATTTAAAAAAAAAAAAAAAAGTTCAATGACTAATAAAATTTTTATATCATACTCACTAAGTACAAAATTGGCAAACAGTATAAAAAGCTCTTGCATTTTTGCAGTGAATTTAAAATACTTAAATCGTGTTACGCGACAGTCCGGCCGCCTCCCGATTTTTGCTGCCTGCATACTTTTAAGTATTTGAGCCCTGCACAGAAGGAGCAAATTTAAAATAATGCACTAGCAAACTATAGCATGGACATGGTGATGCAATATTTAACCACTGTTCAAAATTTCAAAACAAGAATTAGAAGGTGTTAACATGAAAGTCAGCATATTCCACAGGAACCAGATGTCAAAGCTAAATATTTAATAATAGACAATAATCAGAGACACAGAAGTATAAACGGTACTTTTCCCTTTCACCGGCGCAAATCTCGCCAAGCAGACCTTGTTGGCGACAAAATACAGTATATAAATAAAAAATGTTAACAAATGCTAGTTATTTTGAAGG